ATAATGAAGATCCCTTTTCACCAGATAATGTGGGACCTTTCACACCAAGTGTTGATACCAATGCTGTGGATGTTGGGGTTGACCAGCAAAACTCACAGGAATCAGCTACTGATGTTTTGAATCCAGAGCAACCTGTTCTCCCATACTCCGAATCTGTGCAAGGAGTGGACTCATTGGGATCAAATGTTGAAGATGCTTCTGTAATCAGTGAGCGCAACAAGGGGATGAGCCAACAAAACACAATCTTTGAACCGACCGGATCGGACATTAACCATGATGGAAACGTGAATAACGAGCAATTTGCCAATCAGCAAATGTCAAATGGAAACTTGGACGAAGATGATCAAACTGAAGAGGATGAGGTATTTTTCCTTTTTTTACCGCAATTTACAGCCAGAGATTTGAAGAGATTCATTAATTAATGATGCAATATAAGGGGATGAATCTCCTCTTCCTTTTATGTAGAAGCACAGAAAATAGGAGCAGGGATAGGCCATTTGGCCCCTTGAACAGCTCTACCAATCAATACGATCATGGCTGATCATTGAGCTCAATACCATCTTCACCTGACAACACTATATTATGGTCAGGTGAGGATCCATTCTGATTCACAACTTTGTGCCTTTAAGAACACTGCTCTCCGAGGTTGGAACACCTCTGGCTTTGATGACATCAGAGAAACAGGCCGTTCGGCCCACTTGTCAATGCTGGTTCTACTGTTCCTCACTATCTTCTTCCCACTGTAATTACCACATCCTTCTCTGTCCCCTTTCCTCCGATTCACTTCTCTCTCTCTTGTGTTCATGATGGCTGTATCTGAGTTGTACCCTGCCATGTTCAGTAATGAGAAGCTGTGCATGAATCAAAAAAAGCCAATGGTTATATAACAGTGTGTCCTCAAACTTCCTTTCTCACATTCCCACAGTGCCAGGGATTGCTGCTCCCGATACAACACCTAATATTTCCAGCTGTTTGCCACATTGTCTCCGATCACTTTCTCCCAGCCTTCCAGACAGACTGGATAACACTTTCCAACCTTTGCAGCAAAGCTCCTCAACAGGCAGTTGAACTGCAGTTTTGTCCAAATTCAGCCACTTTAGCAAATAATTAGAGATAACAAGGTGTAGAGCTGGATGAACACAGCAGGCCAAGCAGCATCAGAGGAGCAGGAAAGCTGGCGTTTCAGGCCTCGACCCTTCTTCAGAAATGGGGGAGGGGAAGGGGATTCTGAAATAAATAGGGAGAGAGGGGGAGGCGGATAGAAGATGGATAGAGGAGAAGATAGGTGGAGAGGAGACAGACAGGTTAAAGAGGTGGGGATGGAGCCAGTAAAGGTGTGTGTAGGTGGGGAGTTAGGGAGGCAATAGGTCAGTCCAGGGAGGACGGAGAGGTCAAGGGGGCGGGATGAGGTTAGTAGGTAGGAGATGGGGGTGGGGCTTGAGATGGGAGGAGGGGATAGGTGGGAGGAAGAACAGGTTAGGGAGGCAGGGACGAGCTGGACTGGTTTTGGGATGCGGTGGGGGGAGGGGAGATTTTGAAGCTTGTGAAGTCCACATTGATACCATTGGGCTGCAGGGTTCCCAAGCGGAATATGAGTTGCTGTTCCTGCAACCTTCGGGTGGCATCATTGTGGCACTGCAGGAGGCCCAGGATGGACATATCATCTGAGGAATGGGAGGGGGAGTTGAAATGGTTTGCGATTGGGAGGTGCAGTTGTTTATTGCGAACCGAGCGTAGGTGTTCTGCAAAGCGGTCCCCAAGCCTCCACTTGGTTTCCCCGATGTAGAGGAGGCCACAACGGGAACAGCGGATACAGTATACCACATTAGCAGATGTGCAGGTGAACATCTGCTTGATGTGGAAAGTCTTCTTGGGGCCTGGGATGGGGGTGAGGGGGGAGGTGTAGGGGCAGGTGTAGCACTTCCTGTGGTTGCAGGGAAAAGTGCTGGGTGTGGTGGGGCTGGAGGGGAGTGTGGAGCGGACAAGGGAGTCAT